TTCGTGATTCTGACTAATCATATACACCTTCAAATTGTTATATCTCGGGTTCTGCCCATCGTAGAGACTTCCTCTTAACGTCGTTTCAAAGCTGAAGAAACGGGCTTAATATTTCTATATATAAAGGTCAAGATTGTCCTAATAGGGCTTTCGCACTAGGCGATTTTTTAGGCAACTTTTAGTTGAAAGCAAAAATCGCCTCGTCCGAACGGCCTTTCAACAAAGTTGGACGCCAGCCAACTTTGAGCTCGTTTAACTTTTCTTCCTTGTCACCCTGTGTTTGTTTACATTCTGTATACATACCACCATTTTGAAATTGTATTCTGGCGAGTGGCTTGGTAAAACTTGGCAAAACTTGGTAAAAAAGCACTTTTACCAACGCTTGGCTTACCAAATTTACGCCAATTGATACAATTTTGCGATTTAAATTCATTTTAAATAATGTAAATAAAAATTCGTGTTGAATCGAAAATCGCCTCGTCTGAATAGGGATGGCAACTTTTTCACTTTCAACTTCTCATTCAACTTTTGTTGCCTGTAAAATCGCCTCGTGCGAATGCCCTATAAAGCTAACTTAGCTATTAACAGTTGAACTTTTTGAAGTTGATTAGCATAGTGAAGACCAGTAAATTAGGGATTTAAAATTATACCATCGTAATCCTTGCTTAATTCTCTATAAAAAACGTGGTTTAAAAAAATGGGAGTTTTTCCAGAACTATTTTTAAAATATTTTTCTTTATGACGAGATGGTTTATTTTGTGAGAATCAAAATTTTTTTGTAATTTGTTTTCCAAAACTTATGTTGAGATATATTTAGTAAGGTGTTAAACATCGAGTTTTTGCAAGAATTATTATTTTATTGCAGATTTCGATAGAAAACCTATCCAGATATATTTGCACGGCAAGATTTTTCCTTAAGGCGACAAACCCCTAAAAATGGGCGTGACCATTGTAGGACTAAAGTTTGCAAAACGCACATTTTATTGCGGATTTCGGCAGAATATTGCTTCGTTNGCCAGCCAACTTTGAGCTCGTTTAACTTTTCTTCCTTGTCACCCTGTGTTTGTTTACATTCTGTATACATACCACCATTTTGAAATTGTATTCTGGCGAGTGGCTTGGTAAAACTTGGCAAAACTTGGTAAAAAAGCACTTTTACCAACGCTTGGCTTACCAAATTTACGCCAATTGATACAATTTTGCGATTTAAATTCATTTTAAATAATGTAAATAAAAATTCGTGTTGAATCGAAAATCGCCTCGTCTGAATAGGGATGGCAACTTTTTCACTTTCAACTTCTCATTCAACTTTTGTTGCCTGTAAAATCGCCTCGTGCGAATGCCCTATAAAGCTAACTTAGCTATTAACAGTTGAACTTTTTGAAGTTGATTAGCATAGTGAAGACCAGTAAATTAGGGATTTAAAATTATACCATCGTAATCCTTGCTTAATTCTCTATAAAAAACGTGGTTTAAAAAAATGGGAGTTTTTCCAGAACTATTTTTAAAATATTTTTCTTTATGACGAGATGGTTTATTTTGTGAGAATCAAAATTTTTTTGTAATTTGTTTTCCAAAACTTATGTTGAGATATATTTAGTAAGGTGTTAAACATCGAGTTTTTGCAAGAATTATTATTTTATTGCAGATTTCGATAGAAAACCTATCCAGATATATTTGCACGGCAAGATTTTTCCTTAAGGCGACAAACCCCTAAAAATGGGCGTGACCATTGTAGGACTAAAGTTTGCAAAACGCACATTTTATTGCGGATTTCGGCAGAATATTGCTTCGTTAACATTTGTTCCACAACTTTTTCAATCAAAGAATATTATAGAAATGGGCGTGGCTATATTAAGACCGAGTTCAAAAATTTAGACTTTATTGTGGATTTCACCAGAATATCTATTTGGACTGAAAAAGTTGTGGAACAAATATTGTTAACGAAGCGATATTCTGCCGAAATCCACAATAAAGTCTAAATTTTTGAACTCGGTCTTAATATAGCCACGCCCATTTCTATAATATTCTTTGATTGAAAAAGTTGTGGAACAAATATTGTTAACGAAGCGATATTCTGCCGAAATCCACAATAAAGTCTAAATTTTTGAACTCGGTCTTAATATAGCCACGCCCATTTCTATAATATTCTTTGATTGAAAAAGTTGTGGAACAAATATTGTTAACGAAGCGATATTCTGCCGAAATCCGCAATAAAATCTGCGTTTTGCTAATTTTAGTCCTGCAATTGCCACGCCCATTTTATTGTTAATTTTCCACAGATTTTACTTCTGTTGTATTAATTAGTTTTCAAATTTTAATTCTTATTTACATTTTCCAGCAGTGTAAACTTTGAGAGAGAAGTTCATTTGGCACGCAGGTCTTCGTCACTTAATTTTATCCATATCTTCTGTAACCATAGGCTAATTTTCTTAATTTTTAGTCCCTTATCCTCCCCGTTTTGTCCAACATAAGGCCTCATACTCAAAAATCGTATAAACTCGGACCTAGTGACTAGATGGAACTAGTGACCGGAACTCTGCAATCAATCGCCTACATATCTTCGATAAGCTCATGCGCATAAACTTCCTGATAGACACTGATGCAGATGTGTCAGTACTACCGTCAACAGCAATATCATCCAAAAACCCCGATAAATACAAGCTGTTTGCTGCTAATGGCACACCTATAAACACGTTTCGCACTCAACTAATAGCTCTCACTTTTAGTCTACGCCGTTCGTTTGCTTGGGAGTTCATTATTGCTGATGTTAACAGCGCTATAATCGGCGCAGATTTTTTAAAACACTTTGGCCTACTAGTTGATTTAAAAGAAGGATGTTTACTAGATTCCGAATAAGGCCTACGTTCTGCTGGTAAGTTACGCACAGCAAATGAATTGCCAGCAGTTAAGACGCTTGTTAGTACAACGATTTTTCATAAACTTTTATCTCGATATCCGGAGTTAACTAACCCATCGTCGCATCAGAAAAAAGTCCCTCATAGCGTTGAACATGTTATTGAAACAAAAGGTCCAGCGATATTTTCGAGACCTCGTCGTTTAGCGCCTGATAAACTCGAAATTGCAAAACGAGGATTTCAGTTTATGATGGATCAAGGACTTTGTCGTCCATCGAAAAGCTCCTGGTCCAGTCCGTTGCATATGGTCTTAAAGAAAAATGGTGAATGGCGTCCTTGCGGGGATTATCGTCGTCTTAATGCACAGACTGTTCCTGACCGTTATCCCATTCCGCACATCTATGATTTTGCTTATGGGCTTTCAGGAAAAACTATCTTTTCAACTATCGACTTAGTTCGTGCCTATAATCAAATTCCGGTTGCTCCAGCCGATGTTCAAAAAACCGCAATTATTACGCCATTCGGTTTATCTGAATTTCAATTCATGACCTTTGGTTTATGTAACGCCGCTCAAACGTTTCAGCGGTTTATGCATGAGGTTCTTCGGGGGCTAGACTTTTGTTTCCCTTAACTCGACGATGTTCTAATCGCATCCGAATCTCCAGAGCAGCATTTAATTGATCTTGAGCAATTATTTAATCGCTTACAGACATATTTTCTAACTGTTAATGTTTCGAAATGTCATTTTGGACAAGACAAAGTAATATTTCTTCAACCAATTCCTGAGAAAGTCGATGCAATCTTAAACTTCTCGCAACCGAAAACTGTTAAGGAGATGCGACGTTTTACTACGATGTTAAATTTTTACCGAAGAGTTTTACCGAACGCGGCGGAGATGCAAATCCCTCTTCTTATTTATCAGAAAGGTATTAAGAAGAACGACATATCTCTAATCGAATGGGCACCTGAAGCTCAATCTGCATTCCAAAAATGTAAGAACGAATTGTCCCGATGTACACTGTTGGCTCATCCTAATGAATTGGGGCCGATATCCGTTATGGTCGATGCGTCCGATTTAGCAATTGGTGGGGTTCTTCAACAAAAAGTTGGTGAAGTTTGGAAACCACTTGGATTCTATTCTTTGAAGCTGAATGATACTCAAAAACGCTATAGTACTTATGATAAAGAACTACTTGCGGTATATCTTACGGTGAAGCATTTTCGATACATGCTAGAAGGTCGAAATTTTATAATCTACACGGATCATAAGCCTCTTACTTTCGCTTTTAAACAAAAACCTGAAAAGGCTTCGCCTCGTCAATTACGTCAACTTGACTTTCTGTCACAGTTTTCCACGGATATACGTCATATTAAAGGGAATAAAAACGTTACGGCAGATACTCTCTCGGATCTCAACTATAGATTTGCCAAACCTCATCGATTAAGAAGAATTGGCAAAAGCGCAAGGAGATGCAGAATTAATTAAAAGCTTTAATAAAAAATCCAAGTTCTTCATCTTTAATTCTTAGATCTTTAACAATTCCATCGACATCGAGACCCATATTTTGTGACATTTCCACATCAACTGCAAGACCCTTTATTCCAAATTATTTTCGCGGAGAAATTTTTAAGAATGTACACAATATGTCTCATCCAGGAGCAAATTCAACAACTCGAATGATTTTACAACGTTTCGTATGGCCAAATTTAAAAAGGGACATTAAAATATGGTCTAAAGCTTGTTCAAAAATTTATCGACACAATCACGNCGAATGATTTTACAACGTTTCGTATGGCCAAATTTAAAAAGGGACATTAAAATATGGTCTAAAGCTTGTAGCATTTGTCAACGTTCAAAAATTTATCGACACAATCACAGCGCTGTAGGTAGCTATGATTCTCCAAGTTCACGCTTCTCGCACATTAACATTGATCTAGTCGGACCATTGCCTTCCTCGCGTGGGTATTCGTATATTTTAACTTGTATTGATCGATTCACCCGCTGGCCAGAATCGTTTCCTATAGTAGACGCAAGTGCACGCTCAGTAGCGGCCGCTTTATTTCACGGATGGATATTCTTCCAGGATTACAACGGATCAGGGTCGTCAATTTGAGTCAAATTTATTTAAAGAACTTGCACAGCTTCTTGGATCTCAACGAATACGCACTACGCCATATCATCCTTGTGCCAATGGCATGATTGAACGGTGGCATCGTTCGCTGAAGACTGCTTTGATGTGTCACAATACTAATAGCTGGATGGAAGTGTTACCAATTGTGCTGCTTGGTCTTCGATCAAGTTTACGTGAGGATGTAAACGCTAGTCCTGCTGAACTTGTTTATGGAACTTCTTTAAAGCTTCCTTGTGATTTTTTTAATAACACTAGTGATTTGTCTCCTTCAGATGACTTTGTCAAGCAACTGAAATCTTCAATGAACTCGTTGCGTCCAATTGAAGTTAAACATAAATCAAATCGTTCTGTTTTCGTCCACAAAGATCTTGCTTCATGCACTCACGTATACGTGCGTCAGGATTCTATTAAAAAATCTCTTCAACCACCATATGATGGTCCTTATCTGGTTCTGAGCAGAAATGACAAAGTTTTCAACATCAAAATAAATGATTCCACCAAATCAATATCAATCGATCGACTCAAGCCAGCATTTATGTTCAACACTGATATTTGTGAAGACCCTCGTTCAGTTCCTGTTACAGTATACCCCAATTTTGGAAGTCGCATTCCACGTCATGTACGCTTTAGATCGAGACTTCAACATTAGCAAAGTCTCTGGAGGGGGAAGTATGTAGGACATTACTTGTTAAGAAATTTATTTCTTTATTTAAATTTTTATAAAATCTTTTCTGTGGATTCTTTTTGTAGTCAAATGAAAAAATGAAAAAAAAATTAATTGAAAAATAAAATTTGTAATAAGAACTTTAAATATATTTCGTGTTCGCATTTCTTATTACAAACTTTTCTCTCATAGTTTAAACCATGATAAAAACATAACAAGGTAAAACCATTGAGAGGCAGTCTGACGTTTGCCAACAATATAATTTTAAAATCAAAACTCAAACTCACACACACATTCTCATTTTCAATCTCAAACAACAACAATTGTGAACAATTTAATTTTTTTATTTTCAATTTTATATGATTTTAAAATGTTGGCAAACGTCAGAAAAAAATCATGGCCGACGAAATGAGAGAAATTTACCTTGTAATGTTTTTATCATGGCTTAAACTGCTGGCAAATGTAAATAAAGATTAAATATTAAAAACTAATTAATACAACTAAAGTAAAATCTGTGGAAAATTAACAATAAAATACTTTTGTCGCAAAATCCATAAAGGACCCTTTTATTTCTAAAAAAAACCGGGGTAACAGTTATTCGTCGTCATGATGTACCCTCGACAAAAAACAAATCAAAAAAATCAACTGCAATTTTTAGTGACTAGAAATTTACACTTTATTAAACTAAAATTAAACGGGCTACGAAATTTGCATATTCGAAGATTTTCTAAAAATTCTGAATAAGTTTCAAATTTTTATGAAATTTCTGTGGTTTCTGTTATAGATCTAACTATCAGTATTGCCGAAAGCAAGTCGTTTTTCGAGAGTCAAATCGTATTGAAAATTTCACGTCATTGCCTAAAATTTCCACTCGACCAGTGTATTAATACGGAAAAAACTTGGCAGCACTGCATATTTTTCGACGATTTTCATCGTTTACTTATTTCATTTATTTATTTATTTTATATTAAAGTTCTTAAAAATAAATAAATAAAAATAAGTGGCATATAAATATCATTTTGAATTTTGTTGCAAATGATATGTCCGGTGCCGTAGGTGATACAACCGTAATAAATACGTAAATAAAATACTCGACAGCATCTCGAAAAATTCTTTTTTGGTTTTCGCTAAATAGAATCGGGTAGAAATTGGACTTAGCTTTTCACTTTGTCACTCTGTCTATAAGGAATAAAGGCGGATCTCCATAGCATGCGTATACGTACATATACGTGCGTGTGACAGAAAAATTGAATACACAAATTTTTATGGCAGCACCTACATAACAACATGGATATAGTGCAGCGAATTAAAATACAGCGGCCCCGCTGGCTTGGCCATGTCGTTCGAATGGACACCGACGCTCCAGCTCTGAAAGTATTCAACTCCACTGCGATGGAAAGACCAGGTGGAGAAGGACTTGGCTTCACTTGACATTTCCAATTGGCGTCAGTTGGCACAAAAGAGAAACGACTGTCGTGCTTTGTTGAACTCTACCAAAATTGCTTGGGCGGTTACAGCGCCAAATACGAAGAACCTACAAAGCAACGCATGAAAATGTAAGAAAGTTGTATGCATTTTGAATTCAAAGCGTAAATGTCCAACGCACGCATACGGATACGCATGCTATGGAAGTCCGCCTTAACAGTTAAAGTTGGACGGTCGACTTACTTTCAACACATCATTGACTCGGACTTAATCCGGATCAACTGCAATTAATTCCTGAGCTGATCCGGATCAACGCTGCCGTCTGTTTATGCGTTAAGAATTCCCTTCAAGATTAACTGTTATCGATGATAATAATGTTAACCTAAGAGTAAATCAAGTACGTAGTAGAATATTTAAGTGCATTTCCATTACACTTTATTTACTTTTCTTTCTTACACTTTGCTTTTCTTACACTTTGCCACTGCACTTCATTTTGCTTTGTAATGTCTCAATAATTGCTTAAAACCACGCAGAAATATAACCGCACAAATATTAAAATTGTTATTTAGTTTTTCTCGTATGCTCACAACCAACAATTGCACCAAGATGACGTCACGCACACAGCTGATTCAATCGTGCCTAGGCTACTAAGGTCGCCAATCAATCAAATTAAAATCAAAATGCTTTACATTGCATAAAAAAAGATAATTTAAGTTGAATTAAATGTTACTTTTATTTTACAGATAATTTTTATAACTCGTGTTTTATTTGCTACGCTTCCTTTTTTGCTTATACACCCATGTCGGCAAACTCATATGCAGGTAAATAAGCAAACAAATATCTGCTTAAACGGCATATACGCATGGATCAATGCTTCTCATACAAATTATTACAAAAGAATAACTAACAAAGCACTGTGCCTTAAAATTTAGTAAGTTTAACAAACCTTAACAGTACAAGGCGACTACAACTATTTCGGAATATACAACACATAACCTAGGATTTATAATAATAAGTTAAAAGGTTACATTCGATATTAACGAAAGTAGATATTCTTATTGAAGAGCCATATAAATACATATAAAATATTGGTTAACTACATATTTCGATACAAAACGAGACCTTTATTTATTTATTATATTTAGTCTTCGATTAAAATTGGTTCGGTACATTTTGTGTCCGGCGTGGAAGCAGGAACTTTCGCAACGTCCTTCAAAAAATTATAAACAGGGCTTGAAGATACACCTTTCGTTGCAGATGAATCATTTTCTGCCGCTTTTACTCGTCGCACAAGAAATTTCTCAGTCTAAAAAAATTTAAATTAGTGGGCTATTTCATTATTTACATACAGAATTGCACACTTTTTTCTTTTATACTTACAGTGCTGCCATCCCTATTAGAAGTCAACATTTTAATTGGTAGATTCAACTGATCTGATGGCACAAACTTCCACTTAACCGGAAGCTTTGATTTCATAGCAGGGCTCTGCCTCATAAGGTGCCTTTAAAAATAAAACAGAAAATGGGTTTTTTAAACCAACATTCACGTACTCTATTTTATCTAAGTACCGACATAAAAGTACGACTACTTTACTCACTGATTCAGATATGTGTTAACGCTTTCCAAGTCGGTACGATGCACAACAGTGCTTAAGCCAGGGACCTTAATAATGTAAGAATTTTTTACGCGTTTTGCCCAAAATCTGGGCGAACTATCGATTGAGCCAGAACAAAATATACCGTACTGTTCGTCTGCTTTACATGCTCCCGATTTGAATGTTGTATTGGCGTTAACCGTCGCTCTAGGCTTTGGCGTCACAATTGTAGCTGTAGCTGGACGAGATATCAAAGTTGTACTTGTGGTTGATGGGATGTTTTGCGAAACAGTGTATTGTGCTGGTACCGTTCTCGTCGTCATTACGGCACCTCCTTTCATATTAACGATGCTAGGCCCCAAAAGTGCAGAGTCGCTACGGCGTTGCGTTGCAGAATTTCCAGTGCCCATACGTTGTGGTATTGGAACTGCAGGCCTAACACTTATTAGCGGCTTAGGTGTGGACACGCTATTGGCATTTATCACTTGAGAGGTGGTTGCTGTCGTTGAGCTGATATGAGTTGAAGACGGTAACGACAGGCGAGCTCCGAAAGATGGTGCAGTAAGTGGCCTTAACGGTTGTGACGGAATTTTAAGCTGCTGAACGAATGATTGGATAAAGTTATTTGATATTGAGATCGTTGTATTTTGAGTTTTTGACATTGCATCTGTGGAATTTATTTTAGTAGTATTATTTGTGGTTATCTTCGCACTTGTTCCATACGAAAACGGAGCAAATTTCGCAATACTTTTTTTGGGCATGATATGTCGCTCTTTAGGTGGTTCTTTCACTGGAGACAATTTATGAGAAGTAACCTCGGACTTTGTTCCAGTCGGGGCTGTTTTTGATACAGAAGACGTGACCTTTCTAAGGGGTATAGGCTGTGATAATGCAAGCGGTACTGCTTTCGAGCTCGCAGCTTTTGTGGTGGAAGTAATTGTGGTTGTAGTTTCCGATGCTGTATTTGTTGTTAAATTAAGCGTACCATGTGTTGGTACAATGTTTGTCATAAGAGGATATGAATTTTTAGCCTCTTTAGAAGTTAACACTGCTTCCGGCTTAAAAACGATCGAGGCAACTGGCTCAAATTCACTTTCTTCAAGACTCGTTGGCGTTATTAGCGGTTTAGTAGCTACTCCAATTCTAGTTGGAGACTCGACTTTTTCAGCCATTTTCGTAATTGTTGTAGAGCCAATAGTCGATGACTTAGAGTTTTCATCCAACATAAATCGTTTCCAAGCGACCGTTGATGTGTTCGTAGAATTTTTATCATCCGTCGGTAATTGCTGCTGCTCTGTGACGGAGTGATCATTTGATGTAATGGTCGACTGAGTTGACAAACCGCTCGAATGCTCAAGCAATGCATTGCCCTGCTGCTGAGCCGTTGGTTTGGAAAATATGGTGGGATTAACATTGCAAATTGTAGCCAAAGTAGGAGACGCGGAGGAATTAGCAGTGGCAGGAGAATCTGCGGTAGCAGTAACTCTTACATCCGGAGTAAGGAACCTGACATTAGACGTTGTGCCAAATGTACCGGTTATAGCAGTGCTGTTAGTATTCGCAATGTTATGAGAGAAAACGGAGGCAGAGGAAACAGTAGTGCTAGGCTGTGTAATGGCTGTAACTTGTTTATCATGAAGCTGTGTGCTGCCAGTAACAGTTGACGCAGTTGAGGACAGACTGGAAATAAATATTGTCGTGGCGTATGGCGCTTCTTGTGGCGCCGGTGTTACACCTGTGATAACAGCGTTAGGTGGAAGACCACATAAAATAGGGGCGGGCTGTTCGTCTAGCATTGGAACTATTTGTTGTGAAGGAGCAGCGCCTGATAGCGGCACAAATTGAGTGTTCAGGGGCAATTTCATTGGTATTATTGGGATTTGCGTTGGGGGTATTACATCCCCTTCAGTGGTATTCGGTAAATTTTGAAACAGCGAGGTTGGCGCTTCGGCCGTGGTTCCATTATTTGTTATTTGCAACCGATTGGAATTAGCGCTCTTCTGAATAGTGAAGTTGGTTAGCTGACGTGCCAATGCAGGCTGATTGGACTCTGTTTGTAAGTCCGATAAAGACTTCAATGTAATATTTGGTTGCGACAGTGGCACAATTGGTGAAAATGGCACCAAAGATTCCTCTTTCTCTACAATCATGCAATCATCATCAGATTCTGAAAAATTGGACTGTTGTTTGGCTTTTGACGGATGTATCTCGCCGATTGGCTCCTCTTCAACCGGAATGACTCCTTCGGTGTTGCCAGGCAATTCCAACTCAGGATGAACCTGGAAAATTGAAGAAAGTAAAAAATTATCCAATTAGCAAGGCCTCCATTAAAGCGCTGTACGTATGTACACTAGGGTTGTCCAAAAATGCATGTAAAAAAGCAAAGCGGGAATTTTAATGTTCTCACCCCCTAGGTTTGTTCTATATCTATAAAACCTTTACCACACAGAAATCAAGAAATATTAAGAGCTCGCTCAAAGCGCTCCATGTTGTCCATGTATTTCATATGAAAAAAAAAATACTAGTTTTCGTAGAAATGGTATAGAACTCTTAAAAATCAATAATTTTCGATCGGGAAACTTCGTTTCTCTTCAGGACACTACCAATAATAATACCCAATTGGTTATTTAACAATTTTATATTATTAAAGTTTTTTTTATATGTAGGACCCTAAAAACCTTAACAGTAGAGTTCACGCGCTCTTTTTTACACCTCTGCACGCGTGGACTGCTATAATAGACCATTTTAGAATGTAAAAAAAATGTTTTTTTAGATAACATTTAAATGAAACACATAGTTAACCCATCTACTTATCTATTACGCTTGCGATATCAAACTTAAATTTTTTCATAGGAAGTAGGAATTTTAAATAAAAAATAGTTTAATTATGTAATAGGAAATATAAGAATAATTTTACTTCTTAGATCAGTGTCTTAAATTTTCTTTTAAAAGCAATATTACTTAAAAAACGATCAGTTTTCGTAACATTGAGTGCCCACCGCAGTCTTGTGATTAGATAAAAACCATTTTTTACAAGTCTTGCACCCCGTTTTTTTGGATGGACATAGAAGCTCTGGTACAATATGTAAATGAACCGACAAACAAAAATTTGGTATTATGTACATCGTGCTGTACTTCTTGAGATGCGTCCTTATTTCAAATTTTAGTTGTTAGAGAAGTGTTTCAATGGATGTACGGCGATTCAAAGTTGGTTTCAATAAATCAAGGTACTACTCATGTAAAAAGTTACCCGTTAAAATTTCTTCATGATTCACATTCATTTGGTTGATCATGAGAGCGTTGATTGCAGTAATGTTCATCAAATCGAAAAATATTTTAAGTAACCATCGGCGACAGTTTCTAAGAACCCTGATGCACCGCATATGCATAGTAACCAAATTACAGGTTCAGTACATCAATACATGCGCGGACTACTATGGTAGGCCCGCGATTTTCGCGTCAATCCACGAAAAAGTGCGTACGCGTGGAAGTCAAGCTACGGTTGCCAGACGTACTGATTTTATCAGTGCAGTACTGATTTTTCAACTCTTGTACTGATTTTATTCATTTCTTCCATCAGTACGCTAATGTCCTGATTTGTACTGAATTTTTAATTCAAACAAAATACTTTACGATTTTCCTAAGGTTTTTACATAACGTTGGAACTTCCTTAAACTGGTACTGTAAAAAGTAAGAAGAAAATAATTTTATTATAGTTGACATGTTTCCAACAATGTTTGATATGCCCAAGAAATTAATACAACAAAAATATCAAATTTTATGGGCATATCGCCGGGTCGTTACGTACCAGTTGCGATAATATGACGGAGCTTAAATTATTTAAAAAGAAGGCTGACGTTTTTGTCGAGTGTTGTTAGTTATCTCGAAAATATCTTGCAGTTTGGTAACAGCAAATTTGAATACTCGAATGGTTTTTGCCTATAACTTAAGCTGCGTTTAGATGAGACAATTTTTTGACAGGCGATAATCGTCTGCAAAAGTTGACTTGCTGTCTTCTTTGAGGCAAACAATTTTTGAATCATCATTTACACAAGCGATTTTTCTTGAGCAATGTTGAATCGCCTAGAAAAACGCCTCATGTAAGTTCAGCTTTATAATTATTTTTTTCTCAATTTACTTGTGAAAGAGTTTTGCGTACAAGACATAGAGTTAGATACTATTTTCAGCGAATTCCTAGTCTTTCGATGAGGAAATATAGATAAAGTACTTAAATGGTAAAGTGGTACAGTGTGAAAAAATATGTACCTTTGTTTTTTTCCAATACCACACTCAAACGGAGCAACTGAGAGGATCTTAACCCTTTCCGGTCAAATTCGTCCCTGATGAATATAAAAATTTTTCCTCTTAATTACAAGGTTCATGAACCTCCTAATACCAAAAGTAAAGAAAAAATATTCAAAAGTTGTTTTGGGTAGTGTAACGCAGTCTTTAGAATTAAAAAAGATTAATTTTTATATTCTTCGACTTATTTCCTTACTATATTTCTGTCACGCCTCTTTGTTTTCGCTGTCACCGGAAGAAGAAGGCTAAAATGGCTGCTTCTTCGGTACAGAGTGTTTAGTGTATCTTATATCTAAAAATGACATATAAACTTAAATAAATAATTAGTATACAAGTGGGTAGGTAACATTACAGTAGCTTTAGGGCTACCTCAAATTTGTGCAATATATTGTAGAAAAGTCCGCAAAGGAGTAAAAGCACTCAAAAAAACTCAATAAATATTTCACTAAATTTGACGGAATAAAACTTTTATTCCATTGAAAATAAACTTATTTATATACAAAATAATTGATTTTACTGCAGATATGTTGGAATGAATATTTTATATCTTTTTTAAGTACCTTTAGTTAAGATTTGCATTAAAAAATTGTAAATTTTCTACATGGGAAGAGAATTATATAAAGAAATTTTGAAAATTTTCAGATACAATTACAATATAAAATACAAATGACCCGTTTTAAAAAACCCTCCCGGTTTTTCTGCTTCAGTAGATCAAGAAATCAAAAATCTACCCTTTACTGCAACAACAGCGCTCAAGCTCTTCAGAAACCACCCTAATTGCCTGTTCAACTGCAACCATTGTGGACGTTTGTACAATATATTGTACAAGACACTTACAGCCTTTCAGTGCAAATGTACAATATATTGTAAATTTTTTTGACCACTCGGGAAAAATATTTGAAATCATGATAGTTTAATTTTAGCATTTTTATATGATGAAATACCTTTTATATTTCCATACTATGTGCATTTATTAGCGATTTTACTTGTCTTTCACGTATTTTTTGTACAGTAAATTGTCACACGTTGCGTGTCACTGGAATTTTATAAAATGGTCCATTTTTTAAATTAAATTCGGGACATTCCACAACTTCATAAAGTTTAATTTGTTTTCAAAAATATTAATAAGATTTTTAGTAGCACGCTTCCAATGTTATAAAAAATTAAATGTACACTATATTGTACAAATGCAAGAAAGGGTTAAGTATAAAGTTTGTTTCCTGGCGCAAAGAGAGAAACTGCCTTCCAATTAAAATTTTTGAAAGTGCACTTCAAATTAAAAGTAATATTAAAATGGGTTGTTGTAGCCGCTACAACAACAACAACAAAGTACAGAGAGTAAAGTGTACTGAAAAGTACTGATTTTTTTAGCATGAAAAGTCTAATACCATGTCCCCACCAAAAAGTTAACCATCTCAAATCGAACTTAACCACATCACTAACTATTGCTGTCCACACTGCGGTTTGAGGTTTATAAAACAGTACAAATGTAAAGAACAGTGTTCGGCGCAAAAATCGATTCAGGACTAAATTACTGCAAAAATCGGAGCAAAAACCAATTTTCCGTACTAGATTGAATTTTTTATTTTTGTTTCTGACATTAACTGTTTGACTAAAATATTTTCTACTCATGCAAAATAAGAACGCGAGGCAATATAAGGATAATATATTACATATTTAGGTAATTTTTAGCATTTTAAATATAGTAGAACGTATCTAACACTTAATTTTTTAAAAAGCAAACCTTTTCTACTTTATATAAATTTCATTCCTCATATATTTTTTAACAACTTAAGTAAAGTTCTGCATCCGCCAATTTGTGCAGCCATACATCAAAGAATAACGATGTTACTTTATTGACGCATTGCTATGAAAGAGTTACTTTTTAACAGTGAGATTTGGCTAACTTTCAATTTTTTAACTGAAACCGGTGGTGAACACTCAAAAAACGGCACCAAGAGGC